TTTTAGCAACAAGGCAAGTAAATCATCTAAATGATAAGGGTAAGTTTATCAGATGGACAGTCGGCCATAATAATGCAAGAAATGACAAGAAAGTAATTTAAGTGACAGGAGATTCCAGGTAAGTCATCCAAGTGACAGTGTGAGGAATGTATAATGATTGCTTCTACCTCTATGGGCCAGGATGGAATGGAGAAATCCTATAGAAACACAATTGTGGAAACTTCTCATTACTACTAAAATGTGAAGTACCGAAAGCAAGGCTTTTCTAAAGGAAATCTTTCCTCTAGGCACTTTGAAAAGAGTGGTTTCATTTACCTCAAGTAGACACACGCCCTGGAGAGAACAATCATGGGACAAGGAAGGGCTGCTTATGCACAGGGAGACAGCTCAGGGCGCAGGAGAGTATGGACGGATGGTCACTGGGAAGAGGTAACTATGGGGAGGAAGTGGGAGGGGAGCTGTTGCATTGTGGTAAACTGTGGTCAATGACATGAGACAAAGTATATGTGAACTGCTGTATGGAAAGTGAATTTGCTCTGTAAATCTTCACCCAAATCACAATTTAAAAAAAAAAAAAGAGTGGTTTCTAATTCTGTTAAATCTAGGAGCTGTGTTGTTGTTATGTGTCGTGGAGTCGGACCCAACTCATAGCAACCCCTCCTTAGGTTTCTGAGGTGGTATCACTGCAGAAGTAGATTGCCCCAACCTGCCTTCTGAGGAGTGGCTGGTAGGTTTGAACCGCCAGCTTTCTGGTTAGCAATCAAGTGCCTTAGACACTATGCCACCAGAGCTCCTAGGAGCTGTGTTAGGCAGGATGAGAAAGTTTGGCCAAGCTGACCCCTGGTGGAGAGAATGTGCCACTATGTTGCAAGAATTTTGGCACAATCCCTTTTATACTCATTCATTCGTTCAAAAGCAATGAGCACATACTGTATGCTAAGGGGAATACTAGGGCCTTGGGGCACAGAGAACAAAGGATTTAATCCCTATAATTCAGAATTCACAACTTAATATTAGTGCTGCCTTTTTAAATGTCCCCTCAGCAGAACTGGGGAAAATGGGAGGCCCCTTAGAAGGATGTTGGAAATAACACATTAGGGATTAAATTATAATCACATATGGAAGATGACGGGAGCTCTGGTAGCATAGTGCCTAAGGCACTTGACCGCTAACCAGAAGGCGGGCGGTTCAAATCCACCAGCCACTCCTCAGAAGGAAGATGGGGTAATCTACTTCCATGGTGATACTGCCTCAGAAACCCAAGGAGGGGTCACTATGAGTCGGGTCCGACTCGACGGCACATAACAACAACAACTGGAAGATAAGGGAGACAAAAAGTCAAGGACTTTGATATTTCTTGCCTGGAAAACTGGCTGGAAATGGGTTGCAGTTCACTGAATCAGGAAATCTAGGAGGAGGAAGTTTGTGTAAGAAGAAGTGTTAGTTTTGGACATGTTGAGTTTGAGGTAACTGTGCGGATATCAAAGCAGAAATGTCTAATAAGCTATTGGTTATTTAGATCTGGAACTCAGGGGAGAAATATGAGGTTAGAGATTTTGAGAGTTCTTCTCCAATAGAAAAGGAGTTCTGGAGTAGTGGTTAAAACATTTGGCTGCTAACCAAAAGACTGGTGGTTTGAACCCACCAGCCACTCTGCAGAAGAAAAATGAGGCAGTCTAGTTCCATAAATTTCCATAAATATTTACAGCCTTAGAAAACCAGTGGGGGTCGCTGTAAGTCAGAATCAACTCCATGGCAGTTTGGTGGTTTTTTTTTTTTTTGATATACAATAGGAAGGAGCTCTAGTGGTACAGTGGTTAAAGCATTTGGTTGCTAACCAAAGAGTTGGGGGTTCAAAGCCACCAGATGCTCTGAAGGAGAAAGATGACACAGTCTGCTTCTATCAAGATTTACAGACTTGGAAAGTTATGGTAACTTCTTAGCCACAGCCAAACACCCTGAAGGAGTGAGTAGTTGGACCTGTGGTCTTGAGACCATGGTCACCGGGGACATCAAGCTCCATTGGCATAACATACTACACAAAAACCTTGTTCTACATCCTGCTTTGGTGAGTAGCAACTGGGGTCTTAAAAACTTGCAAGTGGCCATCTAGATGCAACAATAGGTCTCTCCTCGTCTAGAGCAAAGAATAATGAAGAAAACCAAAGATGCATGGAAACAAATAGTCCAAGGGTCTAGTGGACCATGTGAACCTCAGCCTATATGACCATGAGACCAGAACTAGATGGTGCCTGGCTACCACAGTCAACCACTCAGAAAGGGATCAGTATAAGAGATCCAGGATAGCGTGGGAGAACAATGTGGAACAAAACTCAAAATCATAAAAAAAAAAAAAAAAGACCAGGTTTACTGGTCTTATAGAGCCTGGTAAGACCCCTGAGACTATGGGCCCTAGTTACCTCAGGTTTGGAATTGAACTCACTCACTGCTGTGCTTCCAGCCAAACAAGAGACAGGCATATAGGGTGAACATTTACATCAGGTAGATACACTCCTTAGAATGATCAATCATGGGATAACGGAAGAGTGTATTTGCACAGGGAGATAGCTCAGGGAGCAGGAATGTATAGGAAGGACGGACACAGGGAAGAGGTAACTACAGGAGGGGGTGGGAAGACAGCTGTCACATTGTGGGAAACTGCAGTCAATGTCATGAAACAATGTGTATGAACTGCTGTATGGAAAAATGAACATGCTCTGTAAACTTTCACCCAAAACACAATAAAAATTTAAAAAGAAAAAAAGAAGAAAGATTTACAGCTTTGGAAACTCTATGGAGTGGTTCTACTCTGTTCTATCACTGTGGGTCAGAATTGACTCAGTGACAGTGGATTTGGTTTTTGGGTCTCCAGTAGGTGACTGTGGACTCCACTAGAGTAAATGAGATATTCAGAGTATCTATCTATCTATCCATCCATAGAGAGAAGACATTAACTGAAGTCTTTGATCACTGGGGGGATAAAAAAGGGGTATTTCAGAACACTGTTTTTCAGGCAGAGTTAAGAAAGGGCATGGCTCATAATTAGAAGTCAGGATGCAAGTTAGGAAGGCAGAAGATGAGGCCTTGTTTTCTCTCACCTAAAGGCCTTAGGATGCACAGTGCTCTCACCTGCTTAACCATTTCTGCTTTTAAGGCAGAGGTATGACTTCTAGTAAGGCCCTCCCCAACACCCCCCCATATACTAAATCAGAGGCTTCTCCTTTGCTTCCTGAGCATCCTGTAATCACTCCAGTCATAACACTTAGTGCATCCCATTGTAACTGCCAATATTCTTATCCATCTCCCCAGCTAGACCAGGGGCCCTTCAAAGCAGGAACTGTTTTTTGAGAAAGAATGAAAAAGGTAGTCAGCAGCCAAATCATGTAAGCCTTATGGTCATGTAACAGAATTTGAACTTCATCTGGAAGAAATACATGCATATTAAAGAGTTTAAGCGTGGGAGTGCCATAATCAGATTTGTGATTTAGAAATATCATTCTGACTGCAGCAAGCACATTAGATCAGAAGCAGACAGACTTATGTTGGGAGACCAGTTTAGAAGCTACTCTATTGCCACATTACAAGAAAAGCCCAAACAGGGAGTCCACTGGAATGGTGGTTAGAATTTCATGAAGGGGAGAGAATCTTTTGTTAGGTTCTTAAGTATATTAAAATTAAACAACTCCCCAAAAGTCTGAACAACTGCTTCAAGAATTCTGGGTGTCTTATCATTAAATACACCCCTGCAAATCAACCTTATTAATCCCTCTGGAACGCCGGTTCTTGTTTCCCAAGGACCTTACTCACTTTCTAGTTACAGATCGTACATGTTTAGCCTAAAAGTGTATTTTTCCCAAGACCTGTATCTCTAAAGATTTGTATGGCCCATGTGACTTGTTCTTCTGTGTTACCTGTATAACCTGTATAACCTTCAAAAAACCAGGGCTATATTCTGTCATCATGAGATTGTATTACATACAAACAAAAAATAGCAGCAGCAGTTTCTCTAGAGCCAACTGCCCCTTTGCATCTCTCTCCCACTTACTTTCTCACTTTTAATGGTTTATATCTTTAATTGCTAAAGTCTTATTGTTTTTAACAGCACCTAAAATAGTTTTTGGGAGGAGGAGAAGGTAGAAAGATAGAGATGGGTTACTGATACTGGCTGCTCAGAGGATCCTTAAGTGGACGGACTGGAAGATTTAGAAAGCAGGGATACAGGGCCTCATAAAAATAAAAATAACCACATACCCCATTCCTGTCCCATTCTGACTCAAAAGGCTGATATTTTTAGTTAATCTGGAAAAACTGAGTGTTGAGTTAAATACAAAACAAAATATTTACAGTATTTACATATTTATTATGAACGACAATCAGTTATTTGATAGTTCTATGTCAAACTATATTCTACCTGATTCTCATTTAATTTTTACTAAGGTCTAAGAGCTGGATAGGAGCTCTGGTGGCACAGTGTCCAAGGCATTTGACCGCTAACCAGAAGGTTAGCGGTTCAAACATTCCAGCTGCATCCCAGCGGAAGGAAGATGGGACAATCTACTTCGGTAAAGACTGACCGCCTCGGAAACCCATTGGGGATCGGTAGGAGTCGGAATCGCCTGGATGACAGTGAGTTAGGTTTTTGAGTTTAAAGAGCTGGATATGATTTCTATTTTACAAATGAGAAAATTCAAGAGAAATGATTTGTCCGAAGTTACACAGTGAAGCCAAGTTCGAGTTCAATTGTTTAATTCTTAAATTTATGCTCTTAACCATAATGCCACCCCATCTCCCTAAAGGCTCTATTTTGTTCAAATGCGAGCAATTACACAGCATTCCTCCATGGAATAAACTTCCAGGTTATCATTAAACTGGTGCGTCCCTCATGGGCGTGGCTCCCCTACGTCATCACACTGCGCGGCCTGCTCCTGCGGACCACGTGGAGGAGAGTCAGTTGGGCTGATCCCTGGGTCTCGGTTTGGGGGTGTGCCTTGTTTATCCGTGGTGCAAGATGGCGCTGCCCTTTGCACGTTCTTTGCGCTTGTGCAGCTGGGGAGCCAAACGATTGGGAATTGCTGTCGCGGAAGCCCGGAGAGGTAGGGTTCTCTCTTTTTACCTCCTTTTGCTTCTAGAATGGAAAGGTTTCCGTCTGTCGCTCCCAGGCCCAGCTGCAAGAAGCAATTTCCGCACTCCTGGGCCACTCTTCCCGGTCTGTGTTGGTTTTGATATTTCAAATTTGGAAAACCATCTAATGGTTTAAATCACGGAGCTTCCCCAGTCCGAGCTTTTCAACTCCTGGGGCCGTCCATACCAAAGCGATCCCCCGACTCAGTTTCCTCCTTGAATTCATACTCTTCCTTGTTTCCTCGTTATCTCATGACTACTTCACATTGTTATATACCACCAGTCCTAGGGTTCTGGCCCGTCATCATCGATTCTTTTTGCTCTGCCCGCAGGCATCAGTTTCAAACTGGAAGAAAAAACTGCCCACAGCAGTCTGGCACTCTTCAAAGGAGACACAGGTGTCAAATATGGCCTGGTGGGATTGGAGCCCACCAAGGTGGCCCTGAATGTGGAGCGCTTCCGGGAGTGGGCAGTGGTGCTGGCAGACACAGCGGTCACCAGCGGCAGGCACTACTGGGAAGTGACAGTTAAGCGCTCCCAGCAGTTCCGGATAGGAGTGGCAGATGTGGACATATCCCGGGATAGCTGCATTGGTATTGATGATCATTCCTGGGTGTTCACCTATGCACAGCGCAAGTGGTACACCATGTTGATCAAGGAGAAAACCCCAATTGAGGGCATCGGGCAGCCAGAGAAGGTGGGGCTGCTGCTGGACTATGAGGCCCAGAAGCTGAGCCTGGTGGATGTGAGCCGAGTCATTGTGGTCCACACACTACAGACAGATTTCCGGGGTCCAGTAGTACCTGCCTTTGCTCTTTGGGATGGAGAGCTGTTGACCCATTCAGGGCTTGAGGTGCCAGAGGGTCTCTAATTTGTCCATCACTGGTGGCCCTAATCATGTTCTTGGCCAGTCTTCTATTGAAAGTGTTAAAAGCCTCCTTTATACTTTGCCCCAAGCAGCCTGTAGCTCCCAGTTCACTGTTGGGTCCTCTGTGCAATATCCCAGCCAACTTCCTCTCCCCTACCCTGTGAAAGCTAGGCTCAACAGCCACACTCTTCCTCCCACTCCACCCCCAAACTATGCCAGTTTCCCAGGTTACCATGGGTGTTTTCCCTTACTTCCTTCATCTCTCTGCCTCCCTGGGCCCAGACCTTCTGACTGTATTCAGTTCTGGGTGTGTCTTTTCAGCTTTGTTGGAATTTATTCATCACTATAGCCCTTCCTCCCTTGCCTACATACAAGTTTTGTGTATTGGAGCTTTACCAAATCTCTCCAGAGTAAATCCTTTCTACCTCTGGCTGGAGGAGTGGTCAGTGATTTGGTGCTTTCTCTATAGCACATGCAAAATCTAGGTTCTGGCTCACTCAGCAAGTGTTTTGACTCATTTTGTCAGAGAACAGAGCCCTTCCCCTGGTACCTCAGTGTCACAGATCCTCAGCCCCACACAGCTGCAGCTATCCCCACTCTGAGTCCATTTGCCTTAATCTGCACACCTCTGATACCTGGCCAATCCATTACAATCATTGTACTAGTTACAATTGTGACCAACAGGGAAGAGACACTTGGGAGATAATCTAGGGTGTTAGAGCTAGAAAGTGTTGACTCTTGATAAATTCTTTTTCAATTTTTTCCACAGTTGGAACTTACAGAGGGAAGCCTGAAGTTTAATACTATCTATTTTGGGGCCTGCTCAGACCCAAGTTCCTATCCCCCTTCTGCGGCAGATTAACCTAAAGTAGTATTTGGAGTCAGGGAAAACCAGGTGGGGTGAATTGAGTATGTATGTGAAATATGTATTGTTTGGGCCCTGTCTGATCCAGCAGTTCCATCTTTTCTACCTTCTATAATGGCGATACAGCTGGATACCCGTAGGAGAGAAGGAGAAGGGCTGGGCTTAGCAAAAATAATTTGTATAATTAAAGTTTATTTGACCACAAAATACTTTCTCTGTCTATAAAAATGCTGTTAGCAGTAGCAGCATGTCCTGGCTAATGGGGCAGATCTCTCCAGGTGCATAGGCCCTCCTCTCTCTTCCTCTGGGATATGTATACACATGTGTATGGTAGCTGGACCCCCTCCATCAGTATCTGTCAGGATGGTTTCTTTAGGTAGAGGAAGAGGGGACCTGGGGTGGTTTTGAGTGGGCCAAGCCTTTAGGCTATACCTCAAGTCCAGTCTCTGTGGGTAGATCACTTGCAAGTGTCTACTGAGACCCTTTTCTGCACCCTGTCTATCAAGGGAATGGGGTATTTTGACTCTCACAGAAAGCATTGGCCTCAGTCACCAAATGACTTTCTTGGTCCTCACTGAAGCAGTATAGCTCTCCATAACATTTTTGGTGGTTATGGGTTAAGTATGTGGCCAGCTCGTGCCTTTCCTTGAGGGACTGTGTCCATGCCCTCTGCTCACACCATGCTTTCTAAGTTCTCTTTGGACAGGGCCTCTGCCACTGCCTCAGCCTGAGTCTCGGATGGTGTGTAGGAGTCCTGGTAATCTTGAAGCAGCTTGACCACCTCCAAGTGGTTGAACTGCACAGCATCATCCAGGGGAATGTTGCCCCACCTGAGGAGCAAAGACCACCATCAGGAAGCGAAGACATTGAGAGTGCAGCGGTTGTATACATGCACGGTGGCTGAGGGTAGTGGTGGGCATGCTGTCCCCCCATCCCCCTAGCTTAAGCTTACTCACCTGTCCTTGACAAAAGGATTCACTTTGCAGGCCTCAATCAGAAACTTAACAACTTCAGTGTGTCCTGGGAATACAGACAGAAGGAAAATGAGACAGTACAGATCTGAACCCTTTGGTGTTAGTGTGGTGCACACCCTTGGTAGCTGGGGTCTGTATCAAGAGGGGAAAAAAAAAAAAAAAAGGTCTCTCCTCATTTTGCTCCCTGTAACACCCAGCAGTCATCTGGCTGCAATCTAAAGGGCATCTGGACAAAACCAGTTACTGCCTCTGTAACTTTGAGGACACATAAAATGGAAGTTCTCTTTGTAGAAAAGGAAGACCAAGCTAGCTAAGGGTATGGAATATATACGATTTTACAGGGAGGCCTGTTGGTGCAGTGTGACAGCTCGGCTGCTATCTGAAAGCTCAGTGGTTCAAACCCACCAGCTTCTCTGTGAGAAAGTTTTGGCAGTTTGCTTCCATAAAGGTTATAGCCTTGGAAACCCCAAGGGCAGTTCTACTCTGTCCTGTAGGGTCACTATGAGTCAGAATTGACAGCAGTGGGTTATGGTCTGACAGTCTGTTTCCTCTCTTACTTAATACTTCAAATACCTTCAGCTGCAGCAACATGCAGGGCTGTGCGGGAGTCATAGTCTTTCTGTTCCATGTCCATGGCTGATAAGGCAAACCTGAGGGTAGTGGAAAGCAGCTGGTATGACTCAGATCAGCCTAGACTCACTAGTGTCCTTTCTGCAGAGTTGGTCTGGATGAGTTCCAGAAAAAGTAAAACAGAGCTTGTGCCAAGATCTGTAGGTCCTGCATAATCCTTGTTCTGTATCAAGATGAGACTGTTATACCTCCATCAGAAAGATGGGAGTGTGATAATTCCAGAAACATCATTGTCAACTACCTATAGTAGGTGTCCAGGACATTTGTTGGTGTTGGGGATCCATTTTAGGCTGTCCTTGTCTTAGGCTTAGCTCTTATCACCAGGTTAATAACGGTAGTAGCTACTATTAAGTTCTTAACCATGAGGCAGATACTGTATATATATATTTTTAAAATATTTAAATGCAGTCTTTGTCTGACTTCACAGCTGAAGCACTTACAAGCAGTCCCCAGGTTACAAACTTCTGACAATACCTACTTACCCTTTAATGGTATATAAATATGTCCTCACTTTGATCCAGCCCCTATTCACAACAAATTCTTCATCACAATCACGTTCACTTGCAGGTTTTAAATCATGGAAAAGGCTTTGAGCCTATTCTTGCACTAAAGTAATGCTAAGAACTATAAGCACCAACTTACCTACAAATTCTTTAAAGGCACAGGAACTGATCTCATTTGTAACCCAGGGATATATTTTATTATTTGCCTCCTAATGAGATCTTTGACCAGGAGTGTTTTATTGTGTTTATTTAGTCACGATAGAAGTACCTTCGAAGAGCTGAGACATCTCCACTATAGGCAGCAAATAACAGGTTTACCACAGTCTTGTTCTAGAAAACAAATCATACCCACCTGAGATTACTTGTGACTCTGAACCCAGCTCTACCCTGTGACCCGCCTCCCACGATGCTTAGCCAAGGGTATTACTGAATTGTTATAGAATGTTCTATTCTGAAATTTTCTTACAAGCCACCTGGGATTTTCCTACCCGAACTTCTCCCCCTTCACGCCGTGGGTCTAACTTCCGAGCACAGTGCCTCAGGTTGTCATAGTTGTGGAAATTGAAGAGAGACACCAACTTCTAGAATTATAAGCCAGAGATAATGCTTATTTACTCCGTGTGCTTAGTAGAAGCTCAAAATTTCTTTATTCATTGAAAAATTTGAAATACTATATGTAAAACAACTGACCTGGCAGAAGCTAATGCCCCTGTGGCTATTCCCCAGCTTGTCCAGTGGCGGTGACAGACACATCATTCCCATGACATTTGGTACCACCAGCAAGATGGCTCCTGACACAGCTGACTTGGCTGGTAGGCCCACCTGGGGGACAGAGCAGAGCTGAGGATGAGCTGGGCGTGCCCCAAATCTGAGTTAATAAACAAGTTTTTTTTAAAAAACCCAAACTCACTGCCATCGAATCGATTCCAACTCACAGTGACCCCCACTGGGTTCCCAAGGCTGTAATTTATAGAAGCAGATTGTCCCAGTGTTCTGCAGAGCAGCTGGTGGGTTCAAACCACTGACCTTTTGGTTAAAAGCCAAATGACTTTACTACACCAACCGAGCTCCTTAATAAATTAGGGTATTGCAAATGATTGTATGGGTGAGAACCACCACATTCCTCAACCTTTTGGTTGGTTATCAGCTGCTTTTCTTACTCCTACACCTGTCCTTGTCCCCCTTAATTTCACTGACTCAGTCAGGAAAGGTATTGAGTTATCAACCTTGGGCTGGAAGTCATAGGAGAATTAGGACAAAGGCCCTCATTTAACTTTTATCTGGTAGTGGGAGAGAAACATTAAACAGGTAAACCGACAATTACAGCTTATAAACACCGAGAAGAAAAGATTTAAGGTGCTGTGATACAGAATCATGGTGATTCCTTTTAAACAGGGTGGTCAAAAAGCCTCCCAGGAAATTCCATCTAAGCTGAGACCTGAAGGAGGGCAGCAGAAGAGTGGTTCTAAGCTGAAACATTGTGTGTGTGTGTGTGTGTAAAAACTTGGTGTGTTTGACAAACTCCCCTGAGGATTCTCACTCTAACTGCCTGGCTGGAAGTTGGTGAAAGAGAGGCAAGAACAAGCTTCAGAGACTCCTTGTCTTTTTTTCTCAGCACAGGGCTCATGGAAAATGGGTAGCAGGGCCAGAAACACTCACATGGAAGGCAAACTGGCCAGAGAAGTCGTACATGCCACAGGAATGCATGAGGCTGAGTGTGTTGCGCACTGCTTCAGCGCTCAGCACACTCTCTCCTGTGATGGGGCAGATCCCCCCATTGGCGAGGGTGGCTGCCATGACACTGCCTGATTCACAGGTGACCTCCACAGAGCACAGCTGTGGAGACAAGGGAGAGGTGAGGTGTGGTATGCCCTGAACACCATGCGCTTGGGTGTAGAGCAGTATGCTTGGCACCTACATCTCCTGACAAGTTCCCCTGTGATTTCTGAAGGACAGCAGAACCACTGGAGACATTCAAGCAAGGAGGGCAGTCTGTTAGGTTCCCTTAGCCCAGCTAAGTGGCAGTGTCTGCTTACCTGGAAGTAGAGATCAAGGGCAGCCATCATGTCCACCCCCTTAGGAAAGCACTGCAAGGAAAGAGCATTTCTGTTCAGGCCATTAGCAGCCCCTTTCATGCCACCAGGATCTCAGCCAAAGTCCCTTCTGCCCTGCCACCAGCCACAGAATGAATTCCCAAGGACTTTCTCTCCCAATTACCTTCTTTTCCTTGAGATAATAGCCAATGGCATAATTTCGATCCCCCGTTTCCTTCTCGGACTGGAATCTGAAGAAGTAAGCACCCAACTTAGTACTTAAAATCTGAGATGGGTGTGGGGAGAAGGGGAAAAAAACACCTTCCCTGAGAGAGAGGACTATATCGCAGGTGTTAAACTAAATTGGCTCCTTTATAGATTCTGACTAATACTAGAGGGAACTTCTGAGCCTGAGCAAACACTGGGCATAGTAACGTGTGAAAAAAAAAAACACAAAAAAATCCTACAGTCTAGGAAAATTGGTGAGGTTTTTCACTTTGAAAGGGCCTAGCCACAAACCATCATGCTGCCTTTCTCACTGCTATTAAACAGAAATGGAACAAATTATTTCACAAAGTAAACATGTTAATAAAATGGTTCAGAGGAACCTGGGAGGCCAAAGTTCTCCCGGGATTTCTTATTAAGAGTCTCTCTCTCGACCCCTTCTCTCCAACCCCCTCCTCAAACACACATAATGCATTGAAGCCAATCCTCTGATAGGCCTTACGTGGCATTGCTGAAACCTATATATTCGTATCCAGCCATTTTGTTCAGATACTGCAACACCTAGAAGAGAAGAGGGGGCATGGGAGGTCCCCGGTGACTGAGGACCCTACTACACACACACCAGGCTGACTAGCCCTTCTGAACTTCTTAGTCCTCATCCCAACCTGGTTCGAGAGGGTAGGGACCTGATGAGGCTTCCCTCTGAGGCCCACGGAGTCCCACTCTGGAATAGGCTTCTAGTATGGGCTGCTGTGTAGTGGGGTGAGACCAGGCACTGAGGCAGCCGGAGAGGACAACATACCAGGAACATACCAGGGAGGAAAGCAGCCAGGGGCTGAGGATAGCAAAGTAACTTACAAAATCAAACTTCTCTGCTTTGTTACAGTCCATCTGCAGAGAGAGAGAGAGAGAGATTGATATTCGAGCCTGGAGAGGATGACCAGAGGGGAGGGTCAGAAGGAACTAGTGGAGTTAGACTGGTTTGCTACTGGAAATATTGGAAATACGTTAATTTTACAATGACTTTCTCTTTCTTTTTTGCAACCAAGACCTTTTTTGTATCCATACATATGTGCTCATCTTATAAATCAAACCATTTAGATTTATTAAGTACTGAGTATACAGATATGAGCCTTCCAGGTTTCTCTGAGCCTTTCATTAATATTTGTTTACTTTGTGAAGTAATTTGTTCCCTTTCTATTTAGTAGGTACTGAGAGAAGCAGTGTGATGCTTTGTGTCTGGCCCCTTCCTTGCCAAGACTCCCAAAACCAAAAACCACGTATGAGTCTCACTCCCTCTTTCATTCTCAATTCCAGCCCTCATCCCTAACCTGCCCCCCCCTTCCATTTTCCTGACCTCCAGTTCCATCCCCAAGTCCTACCCTTATTCATAACCCTCACCCCATCACTGATTCCCATCCCTATTTCTTACACTCCATGCTAGAACCTTACTCTAGCCCATCCCTGACTCCCATACCCATTTCTAAGACTAGAATGAGGGACAAGAATGAGACAAAGGTGTCTGTTGCATATAATATTCAATTATACTAATAACTAAAATAAGCTACAGAGTTACGTCTAATAGGGCCCGCTTAGATGGAGAAGGGATGAGGCAGATCCCAGATAAAATGTTAAAGATAGAGCCATCACAGAAAAAGGAGGGAGTCTCTGCCTGATCTCCTCCCCCAGCCTGAGAGCTTCCTGCATGGGTCAACTACAGAGTTAACACCATAGGGACTCATGAAGAGGACACCCCAGCCTCTGGGGGGAGGGTTCCTGGCACCACCTTCCCCAGGACAGGCTGTGATTGGCTACAGAGTGTTACTGCCCACACTGCTCCCAGGTTCTTGCTCAAGCCCTGAGAGACCTGCAGCTGATGGGCCAGCCTGACACCCTTGCTCAAGGCCAACTCGCAGCTCCAGGTGACGTGAATAGCCTGGACATTCACCCTTCCTTCCGTGTGTCCCTCACCCAGAAGTGGCCAATCAGCACCTAATGGTCCTGTCCTCCCCCTGTCTCTGGCATTTGGCCCTTGGTCTTAGGCAGGGGTCAGGACCTGCTTACTTCTCTAAGGCCAGGAAGCTCTGGGCTCTAGACTTATGGGTGGGGGCAGGGAACCTTGTGTGTTTGTGGGGGTGGGGAGTGGGGAATGGTGTTCTTTTTATTAACATTCTCAGTGTAACATGAGGTCCCTGCTGTGCTCTCACATGCCTCCTGGAACCCTCAAAGGAATCAGGGCCCACAATTTCCCTGAAGAGCTAGGCAGATAGGAGAGATACAGAAACAAGGGGGCTTATAGAACAGTACCTTCCAGAAGTCTAGGACAGCACTGACCTTGATCAGGGAGCTCACGACAATGGCACCAGCATTGACCATGGGGTTATGGGGGATTCCTGGGGAAATATAAGCCACCCAGAGTCTTATCAGCCACTTTGCAAAGTTTCCTTTCCAGCCTGTTCACTCTGCAGGTTAGGTTAAACAAGAAAGATTTCTTTGCTGGGGAGGAAGGAATGACCAGGCTAATCAGGAATGCCAGAGGGGGTAAAAAAAAGGCAGGCTAAGATAGGGGTGGGGATTAGGAGAAGGGGGCACCCACTGAGCCCTGGTGGCATTCACCTTCCTCATTGAGGGAGAGCTTGTTGTAGCGTAGGCCGCTGGGCTCCTTGCCCACGAACTTGTGCACATAGTCAGTGCCTAGGGTGCTTACAGAGATGGCATAGGTGAGGGGCTTCACACAAGACTGCAGGCAGAAAGGGATCTTGGTGTGGCCCACAGAGTGCCTGCAGGCAGATAAGTGACACAGAAGTGGTCACCGTTTGTTCTGATCCTGTGCCCTGCCTTTTCCTCTTCTCACCCAGCATCTTACCGCTGACCATCCACGGTGCATAAGGAGGTTCCCCAGAGGTCTGGGTTTGACTTGGCCAGCTGAGGGATGTAGGCCGCCACCTGGGCACAAGTGGGAGAGAAAAGAGACAGGATAAAGATGAATAGGGAGGGGGAGAAGAAAGCTGAGGCTTAGGGTCAGGAATCCTTCAAAAAAAAAAACAAAAACTCTGGCTCCTACAGGGAAAAGGGGATCCCTTCCAGCCTGTTGCTCACAGAGATACTTAAGCCCTAAGTCCTAAAGAGCCTTATCCTTCTGTGGCCCCATTCTGTAAGGATGGCAGTAAAGCCCATGGGAGGTAAAAGGGGAGAATTTGGGGGCCAGCTTCCCTCTTTTGGTTCTTAGGCTTACTTACTCAATAGGTTCGTTTTAAACCTCTACAGACTCCCTATGCCAGTTGTCCCATAAGAACCTCAGAGCCCCCCCCTTTTTTAGGAATCACATGTACAGGGCCCCAGAAACACATAAAACCCTTGTCTCCATTTTTAGAGATTTTGCTTCACCTGTCAGCTTTAGGAATCACAGCCCCGGGAAATTTCTGAGAAGCAAGGCACGTCTGGCCCCGAGCCCTCATCCCTCCCGTAGTCCTCTGGCCCTCACTTTGCCTCCAGTGAGCTCTTTGGCATCCTCAAAGATGCGATCCACATGGCCCGTGAACTCCTCAAAATCAGGGATGACAAACTTCTTTCGGAATGCCTGGGTCAGGAGCACAATGTTGCTGCTCACACACCTGGATCCCAGACATGACTGTTAGGGGCTGGAAGATGTGGCTGTGACTCATTCTGGAGCCAAGGAAGGTGGGAATCAAGAGGGTGGTGAGTAGTCATCAGATTTGGGACAAATAGCTCTTTGACCTTTAGCAAGTCACTTTATCTCTCTGAATCTTAGTTTCCTCATCTCTGAAATGGGTTGTAAGGAATGATACGGAAAGAAAACCCAAGATACAGTATTAGGAGAAAAAAATACCAAAATAATACATATAGAATGTCACATTTATATTAGAAAAATTCTACATCATACATGTATGTTTACATATATTCCTATTGGTATGTAAAGATATAGATAAAATATTATCTAGAAGATACCCACTAATCTGTTAAAGTTTACTTCTAGGGAAGGGGGCTGGGATTAGGGAGGGGGAGAAAAGAAGGCAAGTGTTTCTGTATTGTCTGACCTTTTATAATGAATATATACACATTCCTGTATTACTTAGGTAATAAGTAATAAAATGAGGGGTTGAACTATATGATCCCCAGAATCCCTCTCTAATATTCTATGATTCCACAGAACAGTGTTGAGTGGCGCCCCTGTTTCTGGGGCCCTCACTTTCGGAAGAGGTCTCGGTCTAAGAGGCCACCACTGCTGGACTCTCGAACCATACGACGCATCTGGCTCATGCAGTCCCGGAGCCGGGGATCTGACGTCTGCAGACCAGTGGCCTTCAATGCCTTTAGGGGAAAGAAGAGGACTGGTAAGATCAGCAACAAGGACCTTAATCTTTTCCCATTAATCTTTCCCAGCAGATGCCCAATTTGCTCAACTCCAGCTACTATTATTCATAAGGTTTCCAGGGGCCAAGTTTTTCCAAAGTGGACCACCATGTCCTTCTTCCTAATTTTAGTCTGGAGGCTCCGCTGAAACCTGTCCCCCATGGTGACTCTGCTGGTGTTTGAAATACAGCATCACAGCAACATGCAAGCCACAGCAGTATGACAGACTTGACAATTATGTTGACTACACCTCAACATAAAACAAAAACCCTCACAACTGGACCAATAAGCAACATCACAATAAATGGAGAAAAGATTTGTCAGGGATTTCATTTTACTTGGATCCACAATCAACTCCCATGACATACTGTACTGGACAAGTCTGCTGCAAAAAAACCTCTTTAAAGTATTAAAGAGCAAAGATTTCACTTTTAAGACTAAGGTACACCTGACCCAAGCCATAATATTTTCAGTAACCTTATATGCATGTGAAAGCTGGACAATGAATAAAGAAGACTGAAGAAAAATTGATGCATTTGAATTGCGGTGTTGGAGAGGAATGTTGAAAATACCATGGACTCCCAGAAGAACAAACCAATCTTTCTTGGAAGAAATACACACAGAATGTTCCTTAGAAGCAAGCGAGAATGGCCAGGCTTTGTCTCACATACTGTGGTCATGTTACAAGATGGGATCAGTCCCTGGAAAAATATACCATGCCTGATAAAGTAGATGGTCAGCAAAAAAGGGGAACACCTTCAAAAGTGAGATGGGATTGACACAGTAGCGGCATGGGCTCAAGCATAGCAGAGATTGTGAGGATGGCATAGAACCAGGCAGTGTTTTGCTCTGTTGAACATAGGGTGGCTGTGAATTGGAACTGACTCAAAGGCACCTAACAACAACGACCAACTATTTCAATAGGGTTTGTTGTTGTGGTTAGGTGCCGTCCAGTTGGCTCCGACTTATAGCGACCCAATGTACACCAGAATGGAACACTGCCTGGTCCTTTGTCAGCCTCACAATCCTTGGTATACCTGAGCCCATCATTGCAGCCACTGTGTCAATCCATCTTGTTGAGGGTCTTCCCCTTTTTTGCTGACCTTTTACTGTACTAAGCATGATATCCTTCTCCAGGGAATGGTCCCTTCAGACAACATGACCCAAGTAGGTGAGATGAAGTCTGGCCATTCTTGCTTCCAAGGAGCATTCCGGCTGCACTTCTTCCAGGACAGATTTGTTAGTTCTTCTGGCAATCCATGGTACTTTCAGTATTCTTTGCCAACAACACAGCTCAAAAGCCTCAACTCTTCTTGGATCTTCCTTATTCATTGTCCAGCTTTCACATGCATATGAGGCGATTGAAAACATCATGGCTTGGCTTAGGCGCACCTCAGTCTTCAAAGAGACATCTTTGCTTTTCACCACTCTAAAGAGGTCTTTTGCAGTAGATATGCATAATGCAATACAATCTGATTTCTTGACTGCTGCTTCCATTGGTATTGATTGTGGAACCAAGTAACAATAGGGTTACAAGAGTAAGAAAGGAAGGAATGAAGCAGTTTTGAAGCTAACAAGGGTTTCTTGCCCTTTCTCACAGTGGTAGCTGGCTTCTGAACCCCTTAGGTAAAAGTCCCAAATCAACAATATGGTTTGAATTGGAAGGTTCAATCTTCCCACTATGAGACTGGGATGGGACTATCTCATCAGCCTAGGCATCTACTATCATCTGTTGTTCTCCATCCTCATGTAGCATCCCATTAGCTGTCCTGCATGTGTTCTACCCTCATTATCCCACTTTCCACAGATCCCAAGGGACTAAGGTTCTGAGTGGTTAGACAGCAACTTACAGTAGTGAACTTGTGGATAGGAATTCGTTCCTGTCCCTCGGCAACAGTGTAGAAGAGCAGATCACCCAGGCGAGACAGCATGCCACTCTCTGATGAATCACTATTTGGGGGCAGAGACAGGAGAGGAGGGCAGGAGCCTGAGAACTGCTCCCTGCATCTCCTCCTGGGACACAGGTTTATAAGTAGGTGGGTATCTTCACTCTGCACCTCCTTCCTGAGCCATCTGATCCATCCCTGTAATTTTAACTTTCCATCTGCCCTGAGAAATCTTAAATCTTATTGTCTGGCCTTATTTTGCTACTAACCTTTAAATCTTTTATTTTTAGCTATCTTCTGCATACCTCCACTTCTAGATGTCCCACAGTCACTACAGAGGCAACTTGTCCAAACCTGAGGTCATCTTATCTCTCTTTTCTTCCTTGTGTTTCCCATCTGAATTAATAGCATTACCCACGCCACCCCCTGGTGCCAAGCTGGAAACATAAAATCATTTAGACAGCTTCCAGACTTTTCTCCCGTATTTAGTTGGTCAATAAGACTAGATGAATGTATCTTCATAATTTCTCTAGAATCCACTCTTCCCCTTTTCACCTGTGCCAGCACGGCGTCGAAGAAAGAATTACAGCTTGCCTCTTAAATAGCTTTGTAATCTTTGGCAGGTTAACTTAGCATTGCTAAACTTGCTTCCTCACCTATAAATAATGGCTGCTTCATATGGATGATATGAGGCTTAAGATACCATTCTGTGAAAAACCATCTGACACATAGTAGATGCTCTGTAAATTATACTTCTTTATCGCCAGCTCCTTGTCATCTGTTACCTGTCAATATGCTCCCCAGTCCGTCTTCCATGATATGCCAGTTAATTTTCTAAAACTCAAACATCACTTCTCTAATAAAAGCTTTTGGTGACTTTCCAGTGCCTACAGAATAAAGTTCTTATTTCTTGACATGGTATTAAAAACTCTTTAAAACCTGACATCATCAGTGTTGCTCTGACAAGAATATACCACAGACAGGATGGCTGAACAAATAGGAGTTTATTCTCTTACAGTTTGGAGGCTTTAAGTCCAAGTTCCAAGTGCCAGCCTCTAGGGGCTAGGCGGAAGTCCCTTAACCCTGGGCTTCAGCTCTGCCTCCAGCTCCTGGCCCACTGGAGCTAGAGGCTTTTCTTCACTCAGCTGCTGGCTGCTGAGGCTGCCAAGCCCAAGGCTGACAGGTAAAAAGGCACAGTCCCAATGTTACCAAACCACACGGCAGACCATGAATTTAAGTCCATTGTAAGTCCCAAGGTCGGCAGAGCATGGCAGGCTGCTGAATAATGACACGGCTACATGCAGGGTCCAAGTGTGCTACAGGCTAGAGATTATTCTGCAAGGCTTTTGTTTATATACAGGAAGCAGACTACATTCCCTAGGCAGCTACTCAGCTGCTCATAGTAGATTCTATCATAGAGTTAATTACCAGTCCCATCATGGGGAATAACTACATCCAGCTCCCCAGCCACTCAACCAGGCCCAGCCAAGTTGACACAGAAACTGAACTACCACACCATCCAACAAATTTGAAAATCTAGAAGAAATCGACAGATTTCTAGAAACATACTACATACCTAAACTAAGACAGATTGAGGTAGAAAATTTGATCAGACCCATAACAAAAGAAGAAATTGAACAGGTTATAAAAAAAATTACCAACAAAATAAAAAGTCCTGGCCCAGATGGTTTCACTGGAGAATTCTACCAAATGTTCAGAGAAGAGCTGACACCAATCCTACTCACACTATTCCAGAACATAGCAAAGGATGGAATCCTCCCAAATTCACTTTATGAAGCAAACATAATCTTGATACCAAAACTAGGCAAAGACATCACTAAAAAGGAAAATTACCTACCAATAACCCTCATGAATATAGATGCAAAAACCTTCAACAAAGTCCTAGCCAATAGACTACAACCATATATCAAAAAAATAATATATTATGATCACGTGGGGTTTGTACCAGGTATGCAAGGATGGTTCAACATTAGAAAAACAATGTAATCCATCAGTTAAGTAGATAAAGGAAAAGAACCACATGATCCTATCAATGAATGTAGAAAAGGCATTTGATAAAATTCAACATTTTCTAATAAATGTTGATTCCTAATAAAAACTCTCAGCAAAATAGGAATAGAAAGGATATTCCTCAACATAATAAAGGGCATATATGCAAAACAAACAGCCAACATTATTCTCAATGGAGAGAGACTGAAACCATTCCCCTTGCAAACAGGAACCAGACAAGGATGCCTGCTATCACCACTTCTATTCAACATTGTATTGGAAGTTCTAGCCAGGGCAATAAGGCAAGAAAGGGAAATCAAAGGTATCCAAATTGGTAAGGAAGAAGTCAAACTATCCCTATTTGGTGATGATATGATCCTATACATAGGAAACCCAAGAGACTTGGCAAAAAATCTACTGGAACTAATTGAGAGATTTAGCATAGTGACAGGATACAAGATCAACATACAAAAATCACTTGGATTTCCCTGCACCAACAAAGAGACTGCTAAAAAGGAAATAAGGAAATCAATACCATTTACAATGTTGTTGTTGTTATTTGCCGTCGAGTCGGCCCCAACTCATAGGGACCCCTCCTTGGGTTTCCGAGGCAGTATCACTACGGAAGTAGGATTGCCCAACCTTCCTTCCGAGGAGTGGCTGGTGGGTTTGAACCGCCAG